GTAATCAATTGATGACGTAAGCGGCGGTCAAGACACATTCTCCCCAAAACCGCTTTGGTAAACTAGCCTTAAATCGTAAAGCTCGAGCTGTTTCAAGGAGATGTCGATGTTTTCTTTTAACGGTACCGTTCTGCTGGGGCGTGTGAGGGCACGTTGTTTCGAGTAGAGTCCCATTTTCTTTGTAAAAACACATCATATCATTGGATGTGAACTCCCCATCATTATCACATCTAATTCTATTAATGTTTTTACCAAACTTAGTCTTTACCATTTTTTGAAAATTCTTTAAGTGTCCACTGGCCTCATGTTTGAATTTCAAAAGGAATAACCATACGGCTCTACTGTAATCATCAATAATCGTCAAGAAAAAATTTGCTCCGGTAAAAGAAGGTGTACGATACTTTCCCCAAATATCACAATGCAGTAAATCAAAACATTCAACAGTTTTTGTAGTGTTATTCGAAAAAGGAAGTCTTATGTGCTTAGATTTAGAGCAAGAGTTGCAAATTTCATTGAAAACAACGTTTTTAAGAAAACTAATCTCTTTGAGCTTTTTACCGGAAGCGTGTCCCAACCTCTTGTGCCAAGTGTCATTAGTTACCACTATAGCCTTTCTCTCTTTTCTGACCATCCCCATCTGATATAATCCTTTTTCACATTTCCCCGCACCAATCAAGCTCCCTGTGTGAGAAGCTTCTGCATGACGCAAAAATCAGGGAAAAATGAAACCACGCTTTGCAAATTGTTAGTCAATCACCTTACAGATAATAGATTACAACTAAAATTGGGAACATAAAGAACATCATCAATTTTAGTACCCCTTTAAGGGTCGAGTTACCCCTTCCTCTAACAGGCACTTTCGTCCCATTTGCAATGGTGACAAGTGCCTCGAATCCGATTTTGGTTTTTCCGTTGAGGAAATCTGGGTCATAGGTGATGTGTTTGGTGGCTCCCGAGTCCACCACCCATTCATCGTCCCCTTCCCTTTTACCTGCGTAGTTAGCCTTACGTGGTGCGTCATCCCTGTTTTTGTTGTTCTCTCCGGCGAAGGTCTGCAAGAAGGTCTAGTATTGTTCCTTTGTGAGTCCAGGAATCAGGCATGAACTGGCTTCGACGTAGGCAACCTTTTTGTCTTCTCGCTTGGTTTTATTACCCGACCACCATTTGGGATAGCCAATCTTCTTGAAACAACCCTCTTTGTTGTGCTCGTCCTTCCCACAACAGGTGCAGTGTTTGATTACATCTTTGCGTTTGGGGTCCTTGGTAGTACCTTTGTCACGCTTCTGAGTTTCACGACCTCCAACACCATCTCTACGACCTGGAGTAAAAGCCTTGAAGGCAGCGGCTTCGGTTGTAGGTCTTTTGTCATGCGATATGGCCCTTTGTCTCTCATCCTCTGCCACGAGATGGTAAGCGCTGCTCAAGCGAGGGATAGGTTTTGTAGCAAGGATCTGCGTTTTGATCATTGTAAATTCATGTCTAACCCCATGAGACTTTCATAGAGTCTCTCTTTCTCCTTGGATTCATTCATCCTTTTTCCAAGATCGCAACTACACCTATTACAAGTGCACTGCGGTGTGGGCATTACCGAGCCTATTCCATCCCAAAGCCCCTTGAGTTTCGTGAAATACGCAGAAACGAATGCTCCAGATTGTTGTCTAGTCGCGAGAGCATGCTTCAACTCGAAAGCCCTAGGAGCACTTTCTTTTCCAAATCTTTCAACGAGGTCAGCCCAGATTTCTCGAGCGGTACCCGCGTATTTCACACTGCTTCTTATTTCCTTCTCCATGGCCATTGTGAGCCATCCTTTTAACATGGCGTCACAACGCATCCAAGGCATGTAGTTGGGAGAAGTTCTTTCTGGTTTCTTGAGGGATCCATCGATGAATCCCACCTTGTTTTTGGCAAAAAGAAAATTCATCATTTCCTGTGACCAATTGGTGTAATTGTGGTCCTTTATAGGATCGTTGGCGTGCATCTGTTTCGGATAATCCGAAGCATGAATATATAATGGTGAGTTGGCATCAATGCCACCCTCATTCTTGTCGCCATTTGTGTCTTTTTCTCCGGCCATTGCGTCAGCTGATGAAGAGTTTCGATCAGGGTTTCGATATCCAGAGTTTGGCTAGAAACCGCTTTGATACCATGATCAAGTTGATGGCTCAAGGTTTTGTGTTTTTTTATTCAATAATAAAATGCAATACAAAGGGGAGAAATAAATAGACCAAAACAATGGTTAAAAAGGGAACAAAATAAAAGGACAAAAATAGGGGAGCAATTGAGGAGAGAATTATGGGGTAGAAGTAGAATGAAGGGAATGATTTTAATTCCCAATACTAATATGATTATTTAATTTTGGAATTTCGTCTTTATGTTGCGAATGATGCAATATTGTTCATATGCTTTAATAGCATCTATCTTAAGTTGGTATTTTTTTGGAGATTGTTTGAGAAGCATCATCGTGAACCAAATCATATGAAAATGTACAATAATTATGAGGAGAAGGGACAAACTAAGAATTGTATTCGTTTTTTAGAATTACTAGACTGGAAGTAATGATCAAGTATTGGATCAAGTATCTAAACAAATGAATGCTACTTTCGTTTTCTACCTTCTAATAGAGCTTCACTTGGCTAATAACCAACTGATTGGCATCATACCACCTGGATTGGGAAAGACAACAGCCAGCCCTCAGTTAACAGAGCTGCACTTGGCTAATAACCAATTGATTGGCATCATACCACCCAGATTAGGAAAGACAACAGCCCTTGTCGGGTTGTGGTTGTTCATGAATAGTCTTATGAAGATATGAATCTCGCTAAGATGGAACTCTTTTTGGTAAGTAAGAACATGCTCTCTGGTCCTTTGCCACAAAAAATCTGTGTTTCTGGGCTGCTTACACAGTTAGTTGCAAGCAATAATCTCTTCTCAGGCCCTGTACCAAAGAGCTTGAGAAATTGTAGCAGATTAACGGCTTGAAAGAAACCAACTGATTGGAAACATCTCTCAAGATTTTGGGATATATCCAGAGCTGGATTATATAAACTTAGAGGACTTCGATTCGAAGCATATTGTTGGAGTTGGTGGATCAGGAACTGTTTGTAAAGCTGGGTTGTTAACATAAGTTATAGCTGTGAAAGAAATTCATGCACCAGAAGATGATGAGATCAATATCTTAAGAGCTTCAAAAATGAGATCCCAGCATTGACAGAAGCACGTCATCAAAACATTGTCAAGCTCTATGGATTTCGTTCACATCCACGTGACGCCACTCGTTTTTGGTATATGAGTTATTGGCAGGCAGGAGCTTAAGGAATGTACTGAATGACATGGAACAAGCTGCAAGCAGTTGCACTTGATAGGGATAAGAGGGTGAGCGTTGTTAAAGGCATTGCAAATGCCTTATTCTATATGCACCATGATTGTTCACAACCAATTATCAACAGGGATTTGTCTAGCAATAATGTCTTATTGGATTCAAACTGGGTTGCTCATCTATCTGATTTTGGCACTGCCAGGCTATTAATGCCAGACTCGTAAACTGGACTTCTTTGCCCGAACGTTGAAATACATTGCTCTAGGTACTCCAAAACAATTAAGCATGAGTAACTACGGAAAATTCAATCGGGTTTATAAGATGACAATCTGCATTTTAAGACTTAAGTTTATAAGACCAAACACTTGTGTCGATGTAAAGGTGTTACCATAAGTTGATAAGATACTTTTGGACGTATTAGCAAGTTTTTTTGGACACTTTTGAAATAAAATGCTATTAGCTTTTTTACACATTTTTATAGGACTCTCGCTTATATGAGATAAATAATATACAAAATATTTAATCGGATGCTTTATTTTAAAATTATTCTAAAAAACTTATTAAGACGTTCAAAATTATCTTATCAAATTATGGTAACAATTTTACGTAAGACGCACACGTGTTCCATCCTATAAAAAAAGTCAATTATAACACTTGGAAAATTCTAGCACCCTATAAACTCAATAATCTTGTAGTGAACCATGCAAAAAATCATAATTACCATACTTCTGTTTTTGCAGAACTTGCATACCCGATGAAAGTGAACGAGAAATGTGATGTTTACAGCTTTGGGGTTCTAACACTCGAAGCTATATTGGGAAAGCATCATGGAGATTTCATCGTTGAATATAAACGCATCTTGCCACCGGCCCTAGAACCAATTAATTGCTAATAAACTAAAGTTACTTGTGGAGGTTGTGTTTTCATGGCTGAATGAGGGATGTTACTTGCCAAAAGGAGAGAAATATTTGCTTTACAAGTTTATTACTAGTTGAAGATACAGTTATGTTTATTCCCATGATCTCCAACGGCTTTGGAGGGACTARAATAGAGGTCTCCTGGGGATGATCCCTAAAGTCCCAAGTCTTATTGTCAGTTGAACTAACCTTCATGGTTGTATTTTCTTTCCATAACTAGACTTGATAACACCATAAAATTGAGATTAGTACTCCGTAACTCACAAAATCAACACTAGTCGTATATCTTTAACGAAAACCACCTCTCCCCTTGAGGTAGCAAAATGATTTGTGTTCTATATCTCGAGACTTTACCTCTGGATAAGATATATCAAATACATTTGGTGTTGTTTAGTTTTACTGATACTATTTACAAACGTGTATCAAAATGAATGTCAAAACAACCAAAAACCCTCCCAACATTGGTTGCGATGGAAATTAGGGACTCCCACCTAAGTCCATTTGTTCTAAATCAAACAAATCCATGGGAGACCATCTGGTGATCCGATTGTAGAAAATTTTATTTCCTTGGCCAAATGAACATCACATGATAAACGTAGGCCATAACTATAACAAGACAACCAAAGGGCCATTGACACTGTACCCGATAACCTCACTTTTCTAGAGGTTAGGGGTTCAAATCTCATCAAAGGTGACAAATGTGAGTTTAATTTGTCATATATAAATATTATATACTTCAAAGAAAAATAAAAACATTCACACAACGGTCACAATTCGATCATGGTCTCACGACCAAATCATGGTATCAAGAAGTGAGGCACAACCTCGAGATACATTTGTTTTCGTATCTGCGGCTCCCAAGATGGTATTCTAAAATATATTGGAACCTTTCAACTGATGGCTAACATTCTCATATAACATACAAATATAATTGGTCTATAATTTTATTTACAAATACCGGTTCCTCTCTCCATTGCGCAACCCGTTCAACCCGGTACATAATAATCCATCCGTTCCACCGGCAGATTTAGAACTGATGTTTCCGCCTGCAAAAATAAAGGAAGACATGTAAGAACAACATACCAGACCCTACATCTGTTTGACATCTACTAGTTTCGTTTGTTTTTTTATGCAAGAACAACATACGTTTAAGAAACAAAATGTTTTTGGTATGGACTTGGTTTTCCGGGCTAGGATAATACCAAAATAGATAAACGAACAAAGTAAATGTCTACTTCCAATTCTATCTTTAATTATGAGACGAATAAAATCTTTACTCCCTTCACTATTAGAGTTCTAAATTGTCATTTAGTTGATTGAAAAATGTAATATTTACACATTTCTAAAATTTTGTGTGTTTTTCAGTATGTATATAAATTTCTTTTAGTCGGAAGGAGTACCATTTAAGATAAAGCAAACCAAACGGACCTAGTATATCCCACTAAGTATGATTTAAGATGAAGCATGCAAAGCAATGCAAGAAGTTTCTTGATGGTATAGGCAAATGTACCTCTTCAAATGGAACAAACACAAAGGGTGTTAGACCTCTTGTGTGAGAAATAGCAGGTACATCTGGATTGTGGGTTTCATCATCCTGCCACCCTTCAACCACTCCAAGAATATCTCCGTCGGGTCCTGGAACCTCACTCTCTTGCACACCACTTGTAACAATCGATAGAAGATCCATCCGATTATTTGCCCCTGCTGTTGTACCTCGTAACCTTTTGAAACAAGAAACAAACATATGATTAGATGATGAAATCTATATGCATCAATTCAAGATTGGCACAACAAAAAAGAAAGTTTGCATAAGTTGACAACATGACTACTTTACCTAGATTATGTTGGCCCAAAAACCATGTCAAATCAAACCAAACCACCCAGTATATATCCCACATAAGGTAGGGTCGTAGGGAGTCTTTTGGGTGGGGAGGGGGGGTCAAATCTCAATCTGAGAACTGGTTTCGATCATGGTCTCATGACCAAACCAAACAAACCCAGTATGCGCATGAAGAGGTCAAATCTCAATATGAGAACTGGGATGAATTGGGACATGCTCATGATTGTTTTAACTGTTCCACTTTTTAGTTCCCCGTCTATCTTAGCAATTACACGGGAATCTGATTATTATCATCATAATCCAGACCCAAACGGATCTGGAAAGTGTTGTATAAGATTTGAATTTTCTTACTACAAGTTGCATCATGATACCAACACTGAGAGCTGGTTGGGGAATAGAGGACACACAGTTTAATCATCGTCCTAAAGTTAGAATGTCATCATGTGATGACAGCAACACACAATTAATTGCTTAGAAGGCGCATGGTTCGAAACCAATTAGCAACGAAAGAAGCTAACAACCTAATAAAAAGTGCCACATGTATCATATCTGCATTGTTATAACATTAAGTAGCAACAAATTTTTTATGATAAACACCTTAGGTGCACATACCTCAAGCGGATTCTCCAAATAGTAGGACGCAGTCCAGGATACAAAAGAGCACCTTCGACCTGCAAAGAGAATGATCCCATGAAAATTTATGACTACTTGAACACACACTCAACAGCAACGAAACAGTTCAAACACAGAAATAATATTAACTAAGCTTCAGGACTCAACTGGTATGGAAGTTATATCACAACCATGTCTTTGCAGTGAATGTTGAAATGAATATTGTATGATTTTTTGTTATTGAAAATACAGAATCTGAATGTTGAAACGTTACAACAACTAGAGCCCAACCTTGTCTTCAGATATTGTGAAGCGGCCACTATGACACATCTCAGCTTTAGTGGAACGGAAGTTCATGAATTTCACAACATCCTTTAATTTCTCAGATGAATTCTAATCATTGCATAGCAAACAGAAAAACACCATCAGTTTCGGCATCCAAAATAACATTTATATCCAGTAAGTTGCATGCAAGAAGGCAAAAAAATGCGTAACCTTATATAGAAACCTGCCAGAAGGATAAAATCTGAGGTAACGGAAATAGCAGACCTACAAGACCAGGAAGAACAATAACAATAAGAGTTGGGAATATATTTCCACTCAATATCCCATACGAATGGTTACCATTTAAAACAGAAAAGAAGCCACGTGTAATAGAAGAATAAAAGCAAGTCTAAGAGTCTACAAAAATGTAATACAACTTAGATGGCATTAATAATTACCAAGCTAAATATCACAGAAGTATATGGAAGATAACATTACAGATCAAGCATACTTCAAGTAAGCTTTACGTAAAAGCACACATGAAATACCACGGTATTACGCTTTTTCTATGACGTAGTGATGATGTAGTGCTAAATGACACCCATATACAAAAACGACAATTGTGGAGAAATTGTATAAATCAAACAAGTTTAGACCAAGCAGGACTAAAAAAGAGTACATGAAGAGTCTACAAATAGCTGCCTAAGAAAGATATATATCAGACAAATTACATATGGAAAGCATTGCTACACTAAAAATTAAAATGCTGCTTTTACAGATATGAAGACATACCCGATGGCAAAAAGCACAAATTTAACAGGAAATATGGTGATGCTATAGATTTATTTCATTCCATCCCAAAAGGATTGATTAAAAAGAGGTAAACAGAAATGTAATGGACTTCAAAACTTGTATCCATTTTTCATGATATTATGCATGGATCAGATATATGGTAGAGCTAGGACAGTTATTGTATGAGGTCTACCCAGTGCTAGATGCAGAGGCACATAATTGACCGATATGAACATTATGAGCTGTCCCTTATAATTTTCTCATTCCAAAAAAACTCAACTGAACACAGCTAAAGGGAATTATCGGGTACTCCCCCAATCTTCATTTCCACCACTGCTCTTCCACCCTTACACCGAGGTTTGGTGGTTTTGCTGCTTCTCATAGTTGCTCTTTCTACACCTTTGACTTGCCACATCTCTGCCATAGAGATAGAGGTTTCACTGCTCCAACTAGAGTATGCCACTGAACAGAACATGAAAAAACCTACCATTGGGAGTTGAAGATGGTCTATATCCAGCCTCCGGTGGCATTAAAAACCATTCGAGGTCCATACAGAAGAACGTTGAAATGACGTCTCATTTAGTGACGCAAACACCTCATTCAAATAAAACATGAAAAGCAAGGTAAGGCTTAATGGAATGCAAGAAGACTATGACACAGGTGATTCAGGATAGCATCTGTTTACTGTTTGGTTGTTTACTACTAAAAACACTTACGTTGAAATGACAAGTGCAGACCATAAACTATGCAAATTGCAGCAAATGCTTTTGTCACATCTTGAAGTGAACTCCCTAAATCTATGTATGTCTACGTCTCATATTGAATTACCAACTTACATACATTAAAGAAATTGAGTATATGCAACATCCCTTTTACATGACCACCAGTTAGAGAAAAGATCCACTGTCTGAATGGAGGCATGTGACCAGAAAATGGATCGTGCTATTTTTACCTAGTGTATTGTATAAGCCTGCCTGCCTGCCTTCACAATCTTCTATTTGTAAGTTATGAAACTTGTCCTACCTTTCAGACCTAAAGATCTCTCAGAAGACTGGAACAAATTGTGTGTCGCAGTTTGCACCAACTTTTTTCTGTTGAATTGGCAAACACATTGGTGCTTCTTACCCATCTAGGCATATATCAATCTCATCTAGGGTGGTGTGGAAACAAATGCACCTCATCCAGATGAGACTCGGGAAGCAAGGTAAGCGTCCTATGGGAGGCAAGAAGACTAAAATGCAAATACATCAGGATGGTATCTCTTAGTTTTGGGTTATTAGCTATATAAGACTACTGCTCAAGTTGAAATGATAACCGTACCCATCTTGAAAATTGCTCCTTATGCTTTTGTTAACACTTACGTGTAGTGTAATTTCATTACATGCATGCATGCCTAATGCTCATATTAAACCATCGACTAACATGCATCAGAGAAAGAAATAAAGCCGAAATATTGTCTCCTTTCTACTCTCCTCAATTATGATCATAAATCCAAATTCCAACTGGAGGCATATCATTAAAAAATGAACCAAAACATATTTTCCTAGGGTATAATATATGCCTGCCTTCCTTGATAATCTTTTACTTTTTAAGTTATATAAATTGCTCTGTCACCTTCTTTCTCACACTTTGTTCCTTTTGGGTGCGTTTGGTACACAGACAGGACAGGACAGGACAAGACAGCTATTTAGCGTTTGGTAAGACATGACAGGACCGGACAGAACTGGTTAAAATGACCAATTTACCCCCAGTGAGCTGTTTAGTATTTTTTCACTAAATAATCAATATAAATCGACTGAAAACAGCAATCGATCCAAACGACAAACATAAACCAGTAGCAAAATCAATTGAAAACAGCAATCGATACAAACGCAATCGATACAAAATCAATACAAAACAGCAATCGATACAGCAATCGAGTAGAAACAGCAAACAGATGCAAAATCGATACAAAACAGCAATCGATACAAAACAGCAAACAAAATGCAAAATCGAGTAGAAACAGCAATCGATATTGTCGAGTAGAAACAGCAAACATATATACTGTCGAGTTCTACGAGTTTTCCTAAATCGAGTATAAACAGCAAACAGATGCAAAATCGATTGAAACAGCAATCGATACTGTCGAGTTCTTCTAAATCGATTCTGTCCAGAACCAGCAACCGATACTGTTGAGCGGACTATGAAGGAGAGGAGAGATCGATTACCTGAGAGTATGGAGAAAGGAGAAGGTAGAATGAGTCGTTGAGATGAAGCTGAAGGAGAACGATTCTGTCCAGAACCAGCAATCGATACCGCCGATTGAAATCTGCCGCCGATTGAAATCTGCCGCCGATTGATGAAGGAGACTGTGGAAGCGATGGAGGCGACGCTTTTGTGAAGGGGAAGAAGGGCACAGTTTGCGTATTAGGTTTTGAGAGGGTAAAGTGGTAAAAAATTTCTTGTTCTATTTAGTTCCAGGGGGGTAAGGGTGGACTACCGTGTCCCACCCTTGTTCTAGTTAGTTCTAGTTAGTCCCACATAAGGCCACACCAAACATAGGACAATTGTGTTCTGTCCTGTCCCACCCTGTCCAACATACCAAACACACCCTTTAGGACCTAAAGATCTCTGGAAGGATTGGAATGAGTTGTGAGTGTTACGGCTGGCATCACCTAAAGGTTCTCTGTGCTACATATATGGGTTGAAAGATGAAATGATTTGAGTTGTATCTTTTATCACATTTCAAAGGGAAAATACTGATTATATAGCATACAACATAGGCCTAAATCACAGGCATAAATTGTGAATGTATCTCCTAATACTCCTCAGGTCGGAGCATAGTTGTCAATTATGCCCAACTTGCCATAAATGAAATCAATTTGATCTCTAAATGTGCTGGTTTAAAACCCATGGAAAGACCTAGGTTTTAAACTTGAGTATATGATGAATAGTTGTCTGATACTTCTTATGAACCACCTTCTATTGAACACATATGGATATGTTAAAGAACAGGTTGATATTTCAATAAAACCCCTATGAAGAACACCATTTGTACTTGCATTCACCAAGTTGGGCATGTTTGACATCTATGTTCCAACTTGATGATTCATGTTGAATAAATATGTGCTCTAAGGCTATTGTTACCTTATGGAGTTCTCCTAGGTTTCATGTTTTGACCCTACTTCATTATTTTCCTTTGATTGATGATCTAACAATTGAACCATTATTTAACATAAACTATGAAGTTTTGCATCTCCATCATTTAACATCTTATATCATATTCTGCATGTCAGACTGGCCAAGTGGCAAGTATAAATATCAAACATGACAAAACGTCTTCAAGTGTACTACAAAGACCATATACACCTGACAGCTGATGCTTGTCGTTTCAAAATATTCTGTCATCATCAGGAAGTAAAGGTCAGTTTCTCAACTTGAAACAGCTTTTAATTCAATTCATTGTTTTTTTAATCATTTTCTTCGTACAAAACTAGCTCAAGTAAACTATTTATTCTTCAACTTGTTGTGCCTTGGTGATTCACATTGATGTAGGCACTAGGGCAATAGAACATAAAACTGGCAACTACAAAACCTTAAATTAAGATGAATGTATGCAAATATTAGCAGTACAGTATAAATTAACTGATGTCCAAGCTGTTGCTACTTATCCTATTGGACCCTGTTGTCAGTTATACACTAATTTGCATACCTATTATTGATATGGCCGTTTTGTCCTACACTTCTAATAATTTAGAACAGAAACACATGAGCAAGATACTTCTCAAACTGCAATAACTTCAGCATACACTTCCATAACAAGAAGATTTAAAACTACTAAAACAACTTTAAGCAGTTGCAACATACCACATGAACTGGATTCGTGACCTTCCACTCCGCTACCCCAGCACGAATATAGGTGTTCCTACTGACATAGAGACCTGCAGGATGTAAATGAACTTTACAGTGTTGACAATGAACTAACTGGCCTTAAAGCACACACCTCATACAAATGGTAATACAAGTAAGCAATGGGCAGACGGAAATCTGGGTCACATGCAAATAGGTTTTATTTGCATGTGACCCGTTAGGTTTTATTATTACCAACATGGCAAGGTCCTAACGGGTCACATGCAAATAACTAAATTAAACAAGGAGAATCAAGTAATTTAAGTGTTTAATCATATAAATCTTATAATTTAATTGGATTAAATTATTATTTAGATAAACATGAAAGTTAGAGGATAATGAAGGGTCATCAAGTATAAAGTATGTGAATCGTCACATAGGGTAACATAGGTTTTGCTTTCCGTTGCGTGTAAGGCTCCAGTAGCCGAACAAGTATAACATGTAAAGTTAAACAGAGTATGACATGACTCAACAATCCAATAACAAGTATAAAGGAACAAAGAAAATTAGTGTGACATCCGACAAAATAAATTCAGGTCAGTTCTAGACTTAAGCATCTCACATTGGCAAGTATAGGCTCGTCACATTTTGAATTTAGAAATTAGAAGCTAAGTCATGATCCACTAGAAAAATTTAGAAATTATGCCTATTTTGCACTTAGGAGAGTGAATTGCTTAATTAGTTTATAAAATGCCAATTCAAGTGACATCTCATTTTTTTCTATATAAGTTTGATAAAAAAATAGAAACTAGATAAATTATTTCATCTAGTATTTATTTAAATTAAAATACAAAAAAATTAATTAATTAATCACCTACCTTTTTAAACTTTTTATAAAATCTCATCATTATTCTCACTCCCAAAAAATC